AGGCGTTTGGTGTACTATAGTTAGAGAACAAATTTTCCAGAAGCTTATGTCGAAAATCGTCCAAAACTCACTCAGATCACTGTCCTCTTTTACTTAGATGCAATGGGGGTGGAGAGGATGCTTCACAAAGGCCTTTTAGATTTCAAGTAGCTTGGTCTTCTCATGCTAATTTCCATGATGTGGTTCAACATGCTTGGTCTAATGCTCATAGGGATACCTTTTAATAAAAATGTTTTTTAGAAATATATTTATAAGAAAGCGAAGAAATATTATTGGGTGCCTACGTCCCCAAGAACGCTAAATGACTATAAATATATTATTAGAGAATAAATATTATAAACCATAGCACATCCATGGACCCAAGTGTTCATGAGGTGTTTCTATTTGGTGCTTATATCTGGTGCACATTACAAGTGACCTGAGTCCAATATATAACATTGGTTACTCTACTCTATTCCAATACTAGGCGATGTGGGACTAATCTAATAATATATTTCAAGCATCCCAACAATCTCCACCTTGATTGAAATAGACAAATATCTCTCTCATTAGGAATTCTACACAAGATTCTTCACCTTAACGAATATTTGTCTTCACCTTGCTCAATGCATAACTCTCTCTAACAACTCCACATAAGAGCTTGCTCCCATTCAGCATAAACTTTATGAGTATCATTGACGATGTTACCAAGAGTCTAGCTCTCCAAAATTTTAGTGCAGCTTCCCGTACCGTCATCAAATGGAACACGTCACCTAGTCACCTATTGTTCGGAAGTCTTTCGATATATGGAAGACTCTGCACAAAAGTTCACCAACAACCGTCCTCTTCAATACTCAATCAAGCTGAACATTGGAGTTTCCTTGGAAATCCTCAACCGCTACCACCATTGTCTAGCCCAACAATCATAGTCCAAAAGAACTATCATACTCGACGATAAGGAGTATAATCACAACACACACCTTGCGTAATGCTAATCAATGCCTGTGCCACACCCTTTCATTCAAGGCAATGCCCATGGCACACCCTGCATCTCTACTAATGTTCGTGTTACACCTTGCATCAAAGCCAATGCCCATGTTACACCCTACATCAAAGTCAGCCAGCGCTTCTGTGTTTTTGTGGATCTACTAACAATTAATATCCTTCACTATGACGTATAAGATACTCCATTAAGATATTTCATTTCTCATCTCAAATGAGACCATTCTCTTAACATCTAAAGAGATATTGTCAGTACCTATCTCAGGGCCAAACTCAATACCTGAGTCCCTATCTCCACCTTGATTCTAATCCAATATATGAACTTTTGGGGTTCTGGATCATCATATATCGCCCCCACCATAGTTCCGCCATATTTTCTTCTCCTTCAACTCATATTCTTTATTTTTGCATAGTACATTTGACGCACCTTGTCTAACCAACATGCATTCACTCTCTTTTGCCATTATCTAGCACCTGGGTTAAGGGTCATCTACCAATTGTTGGTGCAGCGGAAGCGATCGTTGCACAACTTTGGTCACCGATACCAATCAAATAATGTATAGAATAAATAGAATAGAATAAACAAAAATTTAGTAATGAGGTTCGGCCAATTGTACCTACGTCCCCGGGAGCGTTGAGCGACTACCAAGATATGATTAGAGAATAAAGATTACAAACCCTAGCACACCCATAGGCCCAAGTGATCATAGGGTGTTTCTATTTGGTGCACATTACAACAATAGACATGAGTCCAATATATATAACATTGATTATTCTACTATATTCCAATACTAAGCGATGTGAGACTAATCTAATAACATATTTCAAGTATTCCAACAAATATCATGATCTTCCATGACTTGAGGTTCAACTTAGGCTAGACTACAACACAATCCTAAGAAAATAGGAGATACTTTTGTTTCAAAGGGTGCAATGGGTAAAATATGAGGACAAAAATAGAAATTACTTTCATACTCAAACTATTGTGAGAAGAAAGTGAAACCAAATTCATGAACTCTTTTTGATGGGAAGAAGCTAATCGATACTTAGAGAACCTATCATGTGGTAGTAGCCAAATTAATCTCGATAAATGTGTTGTGAACTCTCTTGTTTTGTCTTGAGAGGCAGTTGGGGATGCCATCACTAATCATCACTAATCACCATGGAGGAAGTTATAAAGGTGGCTATGAATATGAAGTATTTTAAAGGAATAGAGATCCTCTGTCTTAAATGGATTCTGTCTCTCTGTCTTCATTCATCGAATAAAAATGCATTAACTAATATAAAATATTATTTTATATTTTTATAATTTTTATTTTAATTAAATGACACACTATAATTAGCACAGGACACCATTGAGAACAGGAAACGAGACAACAAATCTTTGTTTATTTTAAAGCACAAGGACAAATGATTTCCAATTTTTTTTCTTTAAAAATTACAAGATGATTGTGGGAAAGGATATTTGCAAGGTAGTTCATGACACTTAATTCATGGTTTTGTTGGTGCTCCCCTCGTGGAGACTTTAATTGTGCTCATTCCAATGGTTTACAAACCTACTTGTTTGAAGGAGCTAAGATCAATAAGTCTTTGTAGTGTTGTCTATAGGGTAATAAAATATTGAGGCCCTTTTTACATGACCAAATAGGCTATTTGCAGAGTAGCTATATTCCTAGGAGAAGTACCATTGACAATGTTGCATTACATTCATAAGACAAAGCTGAAGAAGGATGTCTTGGCCTTTAATTAAGGTGGACCTAGAGATAACTTTTGAAGGATTAACTCAGAATTAGAGGAACAAACTTTGAATGTTTTTGGCTTCCCATCTATAAAAGTGAGGCTTATTATGTTTTGTGTGAGATCAAGTAGTATGTCCATAATTTGAAATGGTTCAAAGTTGGCCAATAAGCCATCCAGATGTCTCTGCCAATGTGATCCCAATTCTCCTTATCTTTTTGTGTATGGAAAAACTATTGCTCCTACTCCAACTTTAATTAATATATAAAATTATAAAATTACACATAAATACATATATATTTGATATATTATATATATATATATATAAAAAAAAGTTATATATATATATATATATATATATAAATTTCACACACATATATATAAAAATATATGTTTCGTTCAGGTTTTTCGGGTTTGGGTTACCCGAAACCCGATGATTTCAGAGATGATATAATTATTTCTAATCCCACTTTATTCGGCTTCGGGTTCGGGGTTGGGTAAGCACAAACTCGACCCAGACCCGTTGTGATTCAAAAGCCTCCAATTCACTGGTAAAAACGCTAACTGGCACTCTAGTTGTTTTTTTAATGCCTAGGGAATGAAGGTCAAAGTGGAGAGTTCTGAATTCATGTGTTACAAGAATGTACCTAATAGAATCAAAACCAACTTCATGAATATATGTGTTATGCATGTCATTTCAAACCATGGAAGCTAATTGAGCGTTCCTCTAATCCAAGGGAGGGTTCTTAGATCTGGCAAGATTCGAAAGTCTAACCTATTGGACAAAGTTAGTTATTACTATCATCCCAATCTACACAAGCAGAGTTTGTGGCTTCCTAAGAGCATTTGTAATGAGATAATTAGGATGACAAAAAAGGTGGTAGATTTAAGATTCGTAATTCGTGTGTGACAAATGTCTCTCTTCTTGGAAAGTAAAGTTGGAGTTTGATCATGCGCAGTAAATTTTGGTTTAAGGTTTAAAAGGAAACGTACCTTCATGAATGTTCCATGTTATTTGCCCTAGAAAAGTCTTATACCTCAACCATGAGGAAATGAATTTTGAAAGCAACCAACAAGCTTAAACAAAGATTCAACTTGCAATTAGAAGGTGGTGAAAATATATCCTTGATTTAAATATACCTTTGATTTAAATATATCATTGATTTATTTTATTATAAATTAAATAGTAAGAAATCAAGTATTTATTTATTATTTTGTGTTTCACATAAATTAATTTTACTGATATGTTTCCATATATGCATTAGGAAATCATGACTATACCTGTCAAAATGGGCTACCCGGACGGGTTCGGGCTAGCCCACTTTTGATTCGGGGTAAAACGGGCCGGGCTAAAAAGCCCGGTTATATTTTATGTTGCTAAAAATGAGGCCCAAACCCGCCCAAAGCGGGCTGCGGGCTGCGGCGGGCCGGCCCGGATTATTTTATTATTTACACCAATGCAAAAAAACTGATGCTTTTAATATGTTGTAATCGATTACGACATATTAAAAGCATTATTTTTTGCTGTTTTTTAAACAGTTTAATCGATTACCAGAATTGTGTAATCGATTACACTGTTTAAAAAACAGCAAAACTGATGCTTTTAATGTGTTGTAATCGATTATGAGTATATTGTAATCGATTACATCATGTAAAATACACAGGTCTGATTAGTTTATCAGAATGTAATCGATTACCAGGATTGTGTAATTGATTACACTGTTTAAAAAACAACAAAAACTAATGCTTTTCATATGTTGTAATCGATTACGAGTATATAGTAATCGATTACATCATGTAAAATGCACAGGTAAGAAAAGCCAAATGAGAGGGAAGAAAATGAGTAGACAATGGCCCGAACCCGAACGGGTAAGCCCAGCCCGAGTCCGAATTTATTGTGGCCCGGTCGGGCCGGGCTAAAAAGCCCGGTTTAACAAAAATACTCAAACTTTAGTACCCAGGCTCTATACCTTTTCGGGCCTTGGCGGGCCGATCCGCTATACCCAACCCATTTTGACAGGTCTAATCATGACTATGTAGTTCAAGGTAAAATATTAGTTGATTTTGGCTTGATTTTATTTTTTATGGATTTAAAAAATATTTAAAATATGAGGATAATGTGTATCCTAATATGAGGAGGAGAGTTATCTCATCATACCAATCAAACATTGCCACGTAACAGGCCATTTAATAATTAATATTTTATTTTATATTTTTTTATTTGATTTTTTTATCTTATATTTCACCTTCTCTCACACCTTCTCTCACCAAGAACCATATGGTTTCCATACCCAATTTATTCCCTTTCACCTCCTCCCATTCTTCCACTCAAGTTCTCAAAATTTCTCATTGAATCATTCACGAAAATCACTCTCACTTCTCTTTTATTCACGAAAATCACTCTCTCCTCTTCTAAATACTTCTCATTAAGCTTTTGAATGTTTCATTTTTTTCATCTTTATTCATTTTGAAGCTTAAAGACGTTCTCACGAAAAAGTACAATGTATGTAGATGTTCTGTTTTTAAAGTGTTTATATTTCCTATTTTACTAGTTACTCTTCCATTCCATGGTTGTTACTGTTTTTTTAGGATATTTGGGATTTATTTTTATTCTCTAAATAGTACATCATTTTAGGATTACAATGTTGGAATACTTTGTTGGGTTTTATTTGGGTTGTATCTGTTTTTCCTTTTGTCTATATGATGGATTAGTCATGTTTTGGAGACCCTTTGTTTGGTGTAAGGGAATGTAATAATGTTTTTTTGGCTTGCACACCACCTATTCTATGAAAGACATATATAACGAAAATGATTTTTTGTGTGCAATAGTAGTTATTGCGTGTAGTAGGATACTATTCTACTTTTTGGCCACATGCTTTGCATTTTAATCTTATGCTCGGAGTTGTGGTTTCTTATGCTACTTTAACCTTTGTCCATCACATGTATGTTCTGTCAAGTGTGAAAAACTAGAAACTTACTGGAACCTACCAGAGTATATCATGTAAGAGTATACCATGTTATATCCTAAACAGTAACTTGTATGTTTCCATATCAAGGATGCAGAATATCACTTTTAGAATAGGTTGTTGTGCTATGCATGTGCTATGCCCACTGGTTCTTGTAATTTACCTTTATTTGAAATTCTTGATGGCTTGTGAAACAATGACAACATGTATCATTAGTCCTTATTAATCTTAAACTAAGTTGCTAAAACAAGTAATTTTAAAATAAGTTAAAATTCAATTATTGGTAGTTGTTACTTTTTTTGATAGAGCACTTCAATTCATGTAGCCGACCCACCTAGTAGCATTAAGGCTTGGTTGGTGTTGTGTTGTTAATTTTTGGCATCTGTCATGCAGGTTCATGTAATTGTCACAACAACATGTGGTATTGAAGACAACTATCAGAAGGATCATGATAAATTGTATTTAGAGTAATGTATTAAGAATATAACAAGTGTATTAGGAATTGATCATGTACAAATTGATGTTTTATTAACCTTGTTGATCATATGTTGCGTTGTGTTCTATTCTATATGTTGTAACATTGTGTTGTACTAACATTTCGCAAGGAGTAATTCCAAGAAAAACATGTGTTGCACTATTTTCTATTTTTTCTCTTATAACACTATTGATGTTATGTTTTTTCTATTACAAGAAACCTTCTTTAAATGCAAATGAATTATAAAAATCATAAGCTACTTTATCAGATGTAAATGTCATACCAATGTATGGGGCTTCATTCTTTTCAAAATATACTTGAACTGGGGATTGTACTTGTTCATTTATCTCTTCCATTATTTGCATTTGATCATCTTGGGAAATAATATCTTCATTATCTTCATTAAACCTTATCTCCATTATCTGTAATAAAGTCAAAACAAAATTGGTATGAATGTGATACTAGTAAAGTAGGAAATATAAACACTTTAAAAACAGATCATCTACATACATTGTACTTTTTCGTGAGAACGTCTTTAAGCTTCAAAATGAATAAAGATGAAAAAAATGAAACATTCAAAAGCTTAATGAGAAGTTTTTAGAAGAGGGGAGAGTGATTTTCGTGAATGAAAGAGAAGCGAGAGTGATTTTCGTGAATGATTCAATGAGAAATTTTGAGAACTTGAGTGGAAGAATGGGAGAAGGTGAAAGGGAATGAATTGGGTATGGAAACCCTTCTGATTCTTGGTGAGAGAAGGTGTGAGAGAAGATAAAAAAAAATCAAATAAACAAATATAAAATAAATTATTAATTATTAAATGGCCTGACACGTAACAATATTTGATTGGTTTGAGGAGGTAACCCCCACCTCATATCAGGATACACATTATCCTCTTAAAATATTGTTTTTTTCAATTTAATAAAAGAGATGTTGTTGGTCATAAACTTTCTTCATCCTTAAGCAGGAGAATAGAGACGATGTGAAACATAATCACACTTTAAAAATCCCATCAAATCATTAATTTGGTAATTAAAATAGATTATTAATTTTAACTAGAATTAATAATGAAGATATAAGGTTGACCGGAGATATTTTTTCCGCTTTAAACAATAAGTCAAAGATGGCGTGAACCATAGCCTCACTGTAAAATTCCATTAAATTTATTTGGTAATTAAAAATAGATTATTGATTTTAAATAGAATTAATAGCGAAGAAGTGATGTTGATCATAGATCTTCTACCCACCTTATGCACCAAGTTAAAAACGATGTGAACTATACAATTTCCATTAAATTTATTTGGTAAGTAAAAATAAATAAAAGTTAAGTGGAATTAATGCATTTTCTTTTTTAATTAATGGCTAAAGTAACTAGAGTGTTTATAATAATTTCATTAAGGATTTTTCTTTTAGAATAATAAAAGAAAATGCTACCTTATAGTGTTATAAGGACTTTAGTAAATGCTACCTTGAGGACTAATTATTGGGTGTTTTCTTAAAGATAAGGACTTTAACAATTTTTTTTATAAGTAACAAAATAAAAAGTCCATGCTTTTTTAGTATTAAGAATATATTAATTTTTTATAGTTTGTTTGTTAGATTTCATCATCGATTTTTCTCAGTTAAAGAAAGTACAATAAATGTTAAGAAATTAAGCAATGTATTTATAATAAGGTGATTGCTCATTCAAATAGATCTTGTCAACTCTCACCCATTTGTTTGAATGTTTCAATATGTCACATGCACACACTAAATATTTTAAAAACGCATTTAGGTCTTAGAGACAATTTGACTGAGAAAATCAAGATTGGCATACCCAAAACAACTAACCCATCATTTTCATATATTTTTATTTATTTTTAATCTTTTGGCTGACATTTTATATCACATCAAAATATAATCATATAAAGAATAGGGATGAGGATCACCTATCTCAAATTGATGTCCCCAACCTTATTTCAACCAATTATATACTGTTATGTCATTTAAAAAAGAATGAAAAGTCATAGAAAATGAAATGAGAAATTTTTTTAGTGGAAAAGTGAGATATATTTTTTAAATGACATGACATTATGTAATTAGCCGGAACAAAGTTGAGGATACTAACTTAGGATACTCGATCTCATAACAGTGGGTGGACATTAAAACATGAGCTAGAACATTATTAATTAAAGAACCAATGAAGACCGAAAGTATTAGCAAACCAAAGTTGACCTATTTGTTTAGATGCATCTATATAAAGCACTCTTCTATGATATTCTGCATCAAGTTATCTCATTTGCAACAACAATTCACATAAACCCTTTTTCCTTTCATATCTACACATCTCTAATATAACAATCAAAGTCTTCTACACAACAAGATTCAGCCATGTTCATCAGATCAATGAGTTCTTGGAGAGGGTATGAGAGATTAGGTCAAGAATCTTCTACCATTTCACTTCTGAATGAAGAGTTCAAGAGAAGTACAACTTTGCCTTCTAGAGTATCAAGTTTTCCCACAAGAATGGATTCAGGTTCAACTTTTGGTGACATTAAATTACATAGAAACCTTACAAAGAAGGTTAGTAATAATAGTAACAAGAAGAGCCACCCACTTCTTAGTTTCTTGGATTTTCGTAGGAAGAAGAAAACAACAGCTAAACCTGAATTCTCAAGGTATCTTGAGTATCTTAGAGAAGGAGGAATTTGGGACTTGAATTCTAATAAGCCTGTTATATATTACACATAAAATGATAGGTTGCTTTTATTTTTTAATTCAAAATGTTAGTAATTCGTGTAAGAACTCATATTTTTGTTTCATTTATACCAAAATATTTTGAGAATATGTGTAGTTTAGGTATACCTGCTGCTATTAATAATTAATTTGAAGCAAATTCTGTAATACAAATTCATTCACTTGTTTTAATAATGCAAATTTATTTTCAGTTTGTCACAGATGCAACCAATTCACACTGTTTCTAAATTATTCCAGAGTTCATGAACTATTAGTTAAAAGCATTAGTTTGATTTATTCAATTCATGAGATCGGGTGATTATTATTATTTAATATATAAAATGAAAAATTTCCTATATATATATATATATTATATTTTATGCATATTTATACATATTCATATATAATCAAGTTAGTTCATGTTAAATTGTATTTCATATTAGTCGAGTTCATTTATTTAACGACCTTAAGTTTTAGCTAAAGTTTAACTCATTTAATTCATGAAGTAAATTTATCAAGCTAAATAATAAGTTGAGTTTAAGTTGAGTTTCTAACGATTATAAAGCCGATTCAGTTTATTGTCTAATTAAAAAGATTATACAATGATGTTACAGGCACGTGGCAATGACAATACTTGTTAACATAGAAAAGTTAAAAGCTTTAAACACTCTAAACTCGGTTTTTGTGAAAATTGTGTATTTAACTGTGAGGTCCTAACAAAAAGAATTCAAAGATCCATGGTTTTTGAGAATAAGTAATGACTACCTTAATCGATGCTTACAATCACTATGACTGATTAAAGTGGTTCATATCAATCATAGTGAAGTTTTCATGTGGGCTTATTAAGAAGTTTTCATTACATGTAATATCATTAAGGAATAAAACTAAATAATTTGAAGATAAAAGTTTAATATCTTAGATATTTTGTGACCAATCAAACACAATGGTATATGGAATAGCGAATATTATCAGAAATCAAATGATCATATTATCAAGAAGTTGAGTGAAGAAAAATATCGAACAACCTGAAGAGTAATATAATTCTTTAGGGTTGTACTTTTTAAGTGAGAAATTTTTAGAAAGATGATAGTTTGATAGGGGTTTTGATTAATTAAGGAAGACACTAGAAAAATTAATGTGCAGAATAAGAAAATAAAAACAGAAAAAGATAATTCTTCATTCATTCATAGCCTCCATAACTCTCTCATAAGATAAATACAGATAGGTAGAGAATTTGTGTTTAATTCTACTAGGCCTTGTCTTTGGGCTCTTATCATAGTTATTTAAAGAAAATACCTGAGTTAGTCCATGATTGTTACAAATGAAAAATGCCAAGAACTTAGTGGTAGATGTGTGTATGTAAATGTAAAAGGGAATGGTATAGTTACTCTTAGAAGTAAATATGAACTATAAGAAGCAGTTTGAGAAAATCAAGATTGGTGTGCCAAGAAAAGCATGGAAGATACTTAATATCATCAATATATCAATCATGTCAAATCATCAAGAATTGAAAGTGTGCATGTCAAGAGGAACACTTTGGAAAGCTCTCTTTATGTGTCATGGTTTTGATGAGGACAACTTGTGCTAATAAGAGCTTGAAGATCATCAACAAATCAACGTGCTTAAGTCTTCTGATTGGTACTTAGCTTAGACTAGATTAGTTTAGGTTGAGTCTAAGGCTTAAGTCACCTAATACATATCTCATATGCATAAATCTTTTAAATCATTTTCATCTTGAGATATGTCATTCATAATATGTTCATGCATCACATAAATACATGTACATGTGCATTCTAGGCATAAACTAAGTGTTAAACATGTATGAATTAAAGTGCATAACGTATTTGAGTTTTTACACATGAAAATATGCTGTTAATCGATTACAGCATAGGTTAATCGATTAATCTAACTGTTTGCACAGTTTAATCGATTACGACATAGGTTAATCGATTAATCTAACAGTTTTGTACAGTTTAATCGATTAAGGCTGTCGTTAATCGATTAACTGGGCTATAAAATCAATTCTTTATAAACTACGTTTTTCAGAATTGATCTCATAAGTTGCATGTTAAATTTTTAGAGAGTTAGAGCATTTTTTTCGTGTTAATTGTTGCATCTAGTTGTAAATGCATTTGTGAGTTTAGAAAAGAGAGAATTCTATGCTTTAGGATTGAGTGCGTTACATAATACATTTCTCATCTTTTCATATCACATGTTCTTGCATTTTATTAATGATTCTTGATTAGATGTTTACATTCTATGCATTCTGTTTTTCAAACTAATACATTTTCATACTACATGAGCTTGTATTAGGTGATTAGAGTAAAGTCTTATCTTGTTAGATATAAGTCTTGTAATAGCTTAAGTTTACTCTATTTCGTTTTGATTGAAAAAGTGTTGTAATATTGGGAATCT